AGCTGTGTAACAGACAAATTCAGCGCAAAAACTTGACAAATTTGCGAGTCTATGCAAGTGGCCAATTTAGACTTGGTCCGCTCATTGATATCTCTCTAAGTATGACCAAAAATAGTCCAAAATGTCGAAAATGTACAAAACTATACCAAAAAAGTGCAAGTTGGAGTCAATGCATCCTACAACCGACCCAAAATGAATTTTCAAAAATACATTGAATATTGCTGTACATATAAAAGTCAATAAAAAAAATTAATAAAGAGGGGGGGGGGCAGAAATGTTTGTTTTACGCTGCGCACACCTATGGTTTTGTTGGTGGTGGTTTTATCTGTGCAGATGTGGGTGTAGACGCTTGTGTGTACACATTGTGGGTCAAACAACACAACACGTATAACTACCATGTATCTCGAATACAAACAGGTCTCTTTGGAGAAATACACTAATTGCACTCACAATACTATCTTTGATGGGTGTTCAAAATAGCTTTCATTGAGAGAGAAAAAAATTGAATTTCAATTTTGCAGAATTTGTCTTGTTTCTAAATCAGGAATTGTTCAAACATTTTGTGACATTGCAACAGATTTTATGGACAAACTGTTCATCTTGCGAAAAAGCCATTTATTTCATGTGAATTTGGGGAATAGAATTTTTCTGAGGGTCGTATGGAATTTAAAAATTCATTGAGATTTCAATTCTGTATTTCAATGACATACTAATGACCTCTAAAATTGGTGATAATATGAACAGTCCTAGCTCGCAAGCCACATTGAATTCACTAAAAGTAAGTATATACTTAGATCGACAAGAGTTTACTAGTCACAACTGTAAGAAAGTTGGGCTATAAAGCAGGAGGTGGGAAGACTGATGATGACTAGTGGTTGTGCTTCAGAATAAGAATCAGTCAGGTTGGGTATGATCTAAAACAGAGTAGTGAGAACAGATGAAAAGGAATCCATTTATCCATTCTTTGAATGCATTGAATAATAAACTACTGCCATGACTATAAAAAACATGTCTGTAGAATTGCCATGAAAGTATTTGATTGTCCATTGATTTGTATCAGAGTTTAAATGCCATATCTTTGAACAGAAAAAAAGCAGATTCATGGCATATTGATATGGCATTCTATTTTCCCCTGCTTCTCATTTTCCTATGTGCTTCTTTTTCAAAACATCACTGACATGCATCTTTTATGCCACCCACCAATTGTGAGTGTGCAGTATATGGTAAAGGCCAGTGGTGGTATAATGGTAAAGACAAGTAATGGATCCAAAATTTGGGAACTATAATGCCCTTACATTTTTCTTTCAGTTTGTATCTGGACTTCAGAAGAATTTTAAAAATATTTTAGTTTCGTAGATTTCCTTAAATTTTTATAAACTTTGATGATTAAAAATTATTTTTCAAATGTCGTAAAAATATATATTAAGTAAGTTAGAAGTAAAAAAAACAACTTTCAATTACACAGAAATTTAACATAATATACCAATGTCCTCTCTCTTCCACTCTTCAACTTTTCAACTGCTGTCTTTGACCTCAGTCCTTTCCTTCTCTTCCCCTCTGCCTGCTCACAGTTGCCATGTCTATCGTTAGTGCTGAACTGATTACTCTAGCCCTTAAATTCCATCTTATACGTACCATTCAGTTGTGTGCATATTTCCTTTACATATTCTTATTCTTTTCTTCATCTCTCCACACTTTCAACATACGTTTTACTCAATTTATTTCACTTTCACTGTACTTTTCTCTCTTTCAAACAAAAGTAATTATTCTCCATCTTTCATTAGTGCTAATGATCATTTCTTGAAGAACAATGAAATCATATGTTATATTTAACTTCAAATAAGAGTAGGAAGAGCCAATGATACTTTTTGCCTTTGAATTGGTGCAAAAATAAATCTTTAGAAGCTCCAGAATGCCCTATCCCTCCCATGTTCATTTGAAAGATTTTGTTTTTCCTTTTCTCAGAAACTATTTATAAGAACTCTTTTAAAAAATTGAGGTGAAACTTTAGGCCTATGATCACATTTTAACAGAGTGGTTTTCAAATATAATTTTTGGTTTTTTAGAAGAAAAAAATGAATACTTGTGTGTGTGAGTGTGTTTTTTGCATATATTCTTAATTATAAACCTTCGCCTACACAAGTTATTGCAAATCCCTGTGTTAACATATGGAGAAGAGTACATTTGAAAATTTCATTCTATTCTGTCCGGTAGGTTTGGAGAAAAAGTAAACAATATCATGGGAAAAGTTAACTGACACATCAATCAAAGTTTCTAGTGCTTTCCTGCACAGTAACTTGGACATCAGGGTTTCCTTAAGTTTCTTCAATTTTTCTTATGTTTCTTCTTTCACATGCCTTTGCTTCTAATTCTTTCGGGGCTTTATTTGAAGCTCTCAATCTCTCTTTATCAAGTGTTTCTTTCCAGAACTACTAACCTTCGTGAAATTTTCTACTCTTCTTGGTGAAGATGGAGTTTTAGCTAACAATTGAATTTTGGATTTACTCATGCTATTCCTCTTCATAAAAGGACATATAGTACTTTTAATCATGTTGTAAAAGGAATCACACCTTTCACTATGATTTAACTACACTTTTCACTTCAAAAGAGAAACAAATGGTCTGAATATGGTTTTCCCAATCTCCTATTGAACCTTTCATCTTGACAATGTCACAATTTAATGTTACTTTTGGTAAATTACCGGATCTTTACCCCAGGTGATGTTTTTCCACCACTGGATGGTAGACTGAAATTAAGGGTGAAACGCTTTAAAATTACGCTACATTGTGCATTTTGTAATTTGTTACTATGGGATGTTCTGTGATAAAAACATTTAAATTAGAGATTTTTGAAAATAATAATATGAATTAAAATATTAAAAGGATAAGATGAAGGTCAGTAAAAAGTAATTCAAATTACATGCTACATCATTTCATTATTCTTGGAGAAAATGGTGATCCTCCTGTATTGTTGACTCTTATCAGTTTACATGGACTTTAATGTTTAGAAGCATCCATTTGTACTATTTCAGTTTTCTATTACATACCTTTGCGAACAAGATTTTAATTATTGACACTATTTTTAATTGGTTAGTTATCATACATATGTGTAGTCAAGGTTCAAAGTTAAATGAATCATTTTTTCCTTATTAACCTTTTTTCACGGCTTCTATGGTGTGGCATGCGTTTCAAGATTCATTGCATTAGTTTCTGATCATTAATTAAACAATATTTTGATATTATTTATATATTATAATATTGTAATTGGCAATTGTTGAACAATGCCATTTCCTTGATCTTACTTTTTTCAATCATCCCTTGTAAACTTAGTACATAAATGTAATGTTGAACAAGCTTACATAAAATCGTTATGATATTCAGGAAAATTTTATAATATCTTTAAAATGTAAGATTTTGATCATTGATTTTAAAAGAGTAATATGGAAAGATTATTAATGTACTATCTTTTGCATTTATTTAATTTTCTATTCCACATTTGAAAATCATGCTTGTTAACCAAACATTAATTAATTTGTGATGTATTATTATTATTATTATTATTATTATTATTATTATTATTATTATTATTATTATTATT